GTAGATGTCTACCTTGTAATTTTCACCAACACAGACCCAGCATCATTTATTTGTACTTTCAATAGCATGCTTATGCAGACGAAAATTAATTATACACACAAATAGTTACGGCATTTGATTATGCTACTGTGATAGCATTGCTTTTCTAGCTAGTGTTACATAATTTAAGGACCTCTAATGCATGTTGCTATTTTCTTCCATTCACATAAAATCGCAGGGTGTCGCATTCTCAGCTGATGGAATTGGATGCTTGTGGTAGATCAAGGGCAGTGTCGAACAATTAAAAGCTTGAAGGGACCATGTTACTGTTCGGTTACCATTTGCAGCCAAACCATGGGTAGGTCATAGCTAGGACCCATCCACATGATCAAACTCTGGTCTATATTGTGCTGATGATGTGTCTCTTGAGCAGTCACTAATACATATAGTGGAATTTCATGCCAACTTGATCAAGTAATTTTCAGCTACCTTAGTTAGCAGGGCTTTGCTACCACCCCCCACATTTGCATTCATTCACAGAGATACGGAATTTAATGCTTCATAATATGGAAGAGAAAATGACACTTTCTATCTTCGCTCTCTTTGTTTGTTTATATATATATATATAAACACTCAAATATATAAATGCATATTACGATAAGTTCGATTCAGATAAGTGCTAGTATAAATTTAAATAACTGTAAAGTTTCACAAGAAAGACCAATTAACATAAATTAAATAAACCTCCACCGTAAAACGATAATATGAAATGAAGCGTGAAGGATAAATCTTTTAAATAAGAGGTATTAATTAAAATCTTATAAAAACAGGTTAGGTTAATTCGTACGAAATAATAATGCTACTACTCAAATGAACTTGACTAAATATTGTTAGTTAGAGATCTTTTAACCTTCACATAATGATAATGTATACAAATCAGTGTATCACCAAACTTACTTAACTGTTGACAATAATGTTTATAGAAAGTTAAAAGAAAATAAGCAAACAAATTATTACATTATAAAATAGGCATATCTCTCCTTACTTTCATGGGGTCGATGATTTGCTCAATAACACAAGTATATATATATATATATATATATATATATATATACTTGTAGTCTACAACTTACAACAGCAACAATAATTGTCTTATCTCGTTGAGAGTGAAAATGCAAACAACTTACAATGAAGAAATTATGGTCCATTGAAAACAAAATCTCAGAAAGAAATGCATAAAGAATAGAGTGAAACCCAAGGAGAAAAGGGCTAAACTCTGCATTAATGGGTCTTGGAGAGAGTTGTGGGTGTGGGTTATGTCAAAGGGTTGTTTTAGTCTAATAAAAGAAGCATAAGAAAATAAGGCCCAAAGTTTCGGCACATGAAGCAATACCCATTGTACACAAAAAATTCCAAAATGGTCCTAAAATACTACAATGGTCTATAAATACAGAAGATAATCAATCTCTAGATAAGTTGACATAAGAAAAGTCAATTGAGACCCCCTTTTTTTGTCAACTATATGGATGCCTAAATTCTCAGAGAAGCCCATAAACAAGCCCAGTCTATGAAATTTGAAGCCCAACGGATGCCATTCACCAATTGGGTCACCAGGATAAAGAGTAGGACAACCCAAAACAAAGGTTGTACTTGTGCTGAGAAGTTTAACATTTTTGGTCCCTTCAACCAATATTTAGTGATGTGATGTTTTAATCAGTTTGAAAAAAAACATTTGTCCCCATTGTTGGAGCGATCTAGATGAAAAATAGAGGAGGATATTTTTTGTCTTACTAGATGGGCCAGGTAATGGGCCGGTTTGTGTCTTGATTGGTTTCTGATTGCAGTGTTTAGTTACCATCCCCGGAGACAGATACACTGGGACAATAAAAATAGAGACAATAATATTTTTTATTTTTTTTTATAAGTTTATCTTCTATTTCTTTGGAGCTGAGACACTAATGTCATTTTTTTAGGAAGTATATTTGTGTTCTCCGTATTCTTTGTGTGTCTGTTTCTCTAGTGAAACACTAGTTAAACATGATATACATATTTCTGTATTTCTGTTTCAGTATCTCTGTCTTTCAACTAAACGCTGCCTATAATTTTGAATTCAAAAAGCAAAAATAATATTTTGATATTAATTAATTTTTTTTAGACAACTTACAAGACATAGAACTCAATAATGTATATACTTCACTTTGCAATATAAAATTTTCATATTGCTCAGTTTGTTTGTTTAAATTTTTATATGAAAAATATTAATATAAAAATAAATAAAACTTTTTTATAAATTAAAAATAATTTATACTTTTCGATTATTTTAAGTTGTGAGAATTTTTTTTATTTAATTTGTCAAATTTAAAGAAATAACTTATTTTTTATTTATGATAGAAGATTTATTTATTTATTATATTAATTTTTTAAAAAGTTCAATTTTTAGTTTCAAAATTAAAGACAACGCTTATAGTTAATATAAACATACTTCACATTGTAATATAAAATCTTAAATCCATTTACCTCGTCTTTATAATCATCTCAACAACATGGCAAAATCTGATTTCATTGACGAAATAGATAGTTTAACAACACATGTGCGTGTGAATTTGAATTTATAGCCTTATTTAAACTATGTTTAATGGCTATAGTCATTATTAATATCAAATGTCACTTTCTAAATTTGTTTATAAATGAAATAAAATACTTATAGCATTGATCAGTTTGGCGAATCTCAGCTTACAAAAATGATTACTTAAACCCACGACAAACTCCAGTCAACAAAAAATTCCATTCTCTGAATAGGTCTATATCTAATGTAATTATACAATTATAATTACCCGTATAACATGGGCTATTAACATCATATAATATTATATAACATCATGTTATATTAACATTATACAACCACATTATGTATTTATTTGATAAAAAATATTAGAAAATAACAAAGAATTAATTTATCTATTTTTAAAATAATAAAATATTATTGTATAAAAAGTAACTAAATATTGATGGTCTTTTTGCCACTCCCACCTGTCACTGCTTATAGTTTCCATTTATTTGTCAAAGTTATTTATGAAGGAAGAAAACGATGGGCCAGAACATTAACGAACTGCTCCCACAGAAATTTCTCTCGTGAAAATCAGAAACAAAGTTTGAGAGACCTTCTCTCTCTATAATTTTTAAATGTTCATAATGATTCATGCTTATCTTCAACCCAATTAATGACTTGATGGGTTTATCCGTGTACTTTTTTAGATGGCACTGTTCTATCACATACATATATATTGCATAAGTGACCACTTCATTCAAATATTTAATTAAAAGTCAATTATAAAGTCACCATTGCATCGTTTATATTGTTAATACGACCAGTATGCAGTTGACTTTCATCTTCAAAATGGATTGAACTGTTGGGATTATGGTCCCAGTATACAAGTTGCATTGTTCTTCTTCCATCTTTTTTTCTCTCTCTCTTTATTTTCTTTCAATATTACATGACACATAGGGTAATATGCAGTAACGAAAGTAAAGTCTGACTCAAATTACACGAGAATTTGCTATCTAACGTCTAAATAGCCTTTTAATTTACATATTTCAACCTCAAATTAATCTCTAAAAAATGGTGACAGATTGGAAATGTAAAATCCTTGGTAGTCCCATTATACAAGTTGCAAAATCTTTTTGTTTTTTATTTTCAATTTCATTTTTAATGTCAACCACTGGAAATTTATTAAAGATCATAATATCTAAGACACAATATAACTGTGATGTGTGAGGGAGAAGTAAAGTCAAACCCAACTTACAAAGAAGAAAAAATGCCTATATCACCAAAAAAATATAATCAACACAGATCCAAATGATAATATATATACTTATATCTTCTCGTACATATTAAAATAAAATAGTAGGTTAGGGGATCCTAAAACCTTTCTAGTTAGATTTCATGTATTTTTTGATAGTATATAATAAGGCTAGCATAAATTACTAGAATCTCGCAGATCTTTGAGAAACCTTAAAAGCAAAACTATATTAAGAATCAACAAGCGGGATACAAATTAAAATCGAGGTGCACTACACAACATGAGTGAAAACTACTGAATGTGTCAGTCAATTAGCACGATGTCCTTCCAACTTAATTTGTGATTATAATTTCAAGCTTTCCAAAATGTAGTTGCGTAAATATTTGATTAAAAAGTTATCATTTGTAATAATTTAATTTACTCAAATTAGATTAATCAAACGTTTAACACTATTGAAGTCCTAAAAGATAGTTAGATACGAGCACGAAAAATATTAGTAATTATTTTTGTTTTTCCTAATTAATAAAACCAAACTACATATATGATAGAATTTATTAACAACACGATACAGATTAGAAAAATGATAAAAAAAAAAAATTCGAAAAGTGTTTCATGATAGTTTAGTTAAGCCTTCGCATGCTATGGTTGCAGGGAAAGCGTGGAGTGTGAGCGCCCACATACCCACTCATCTTTTAGTCGGTAAAACCTTTTTTTATTTTTAGTAAGTGAGTTATTCGTCAACTGTCAAGGTTAAAATTATAATTTCATACTCCACATTTTAATAAAATTTGATTTCTCGGTTAAAAGCATATTTAAGAATAAAAATTTATACAATTTTTTTATTAATTATTAAAAATTACATGATTTACATAAATAAAAAATAGATAAGAAATGAAAAGAGAAACACATGTAAGAAATAAAGATTATGAGATAAATAATTTTTTAATATATGTCTAAAAATAAAAATTTAGTTTTTATTTAAATATTTAATCTTTTAATATATGTTTAAAAATAAACATTACAATATTTATTTTATTAATGTATTCAATGATGTAAATTTAAGTAAGCAATAATAAATATAAATAAATTCCTATTTATATATTAAAAAAGATATTCATTTCATTAAGCTTTAAAGACAACAGCAATAAAAGATAATCAGTGAGTTAAAAATTAAGCCATTTTATTTAATCTGCTTCTGGGTTGGATTTAACGAAGGCATCGCGTCCGTGTCTCGTCCAAGGTCAGCCTCCGTCTTTGTGTGAGAGAAGAAAAAAAAGTTAGAGAGAGAAAAAGAAGTTATGATTTGCTAACACAGGATCTAAAGCGTGTTGTTCTCTGATAAGACTTTGCAACATCATGGTTAGTCAGCTACCTCTTCATCTGCTATGTTCATCAATGCGCCCTTCTTCTATTCAATTTCTAATCTTTTATGTTCGGTCTTCTTTCCTATTTTTCCCCCTTTCCTGAGATTGGGTTGTGGGAAATTTCCAGACCCGGATTTTTTTAGGGTATGATATGTAACTTTGGGTGTTTCTTCTTCTGGAAGTCTCTATTTTTTTCAGTCTGGGGCTATGGGTTCTGTGGAATTTTCACTTGGGTTGTTCCTGGTTTCTGCTGTTTTTGTTCTGTAATTTTGGTTATTTGTGGAAACAAAAAATAATAATAATAAGTGTGTTTTATGGTCCTAGGATGGTTGTCTTTTTTTATTGGTTGAAGTTCTGATGATATAAGTGTTGTAGTGAGAACTGTAATTTTATTTTGTGCTCTTTGCAGATCTCTTATGTTCTATGATCTCTTCGTTTTAGAGAGAGGAGGACCCTTAGTTATCAACCCAAGTTTGGTGTTTGAGGTTTGTTATCTCACCTTCACCTTAAATTCTTTTCTTTTTATGTGCTCGTGTGTTTATGCTCCGGTGGGTGTGAGAGGTATTTCATTCGATTCCTGGCCTTGTAACCTCCCCAACAAGATTAAAGAAAAGAGAGAAAGATAAACTAAAAATAGGGCAATTATATTCCCTTTTACAATCATATATAGTTAAAGTTAACACTAAATAGAACCTTCTGTAGTTTTTTTTTTTTTTGGTTCGATCGCTCCTAGCTTCCTACAATAAGTCAGATTGAGGGGGTTCAAGATCATGTTTAAAACCCGCCAAAAACATGTTTCTGACGAAAGTATGGAATTTTAGGCTGCTTTTGCCTTTAGGTCCATGTGGGGCTTTCTTTTATGAGAATCTTTTTTTTTAATCTCTCTTTGTGCTTTACCCTATGTGTCTTCCTTCTCTTTTATTTCTTGATCACTAAGCATTGAAGATTGAATTTAAAATAAAGTTTGTTCATTTGCAGCTCTTCACTCTTCTAAGATTTGTGAGTTGTGACGACATCTTCTGAGTAACTAGAGTGGAGGGGTAATTTTTATTCTTTTAGGGACGCTTTGATAACATATTAAGCTCTGGGGCTGTCAGTATATTAGAACAAATGTCCTTCCGCAGTATAGTTCGAGATGTAAGGGATGGATTTGGAAGCTTGTCAAGGAGGAGTTTTGAGGTAAGGCTTCCTGGCCATCACAGGGGCAAGTCACGAAGTTCGGTTCATGAGTTGCAGGAGCAGCCACCAGTTATACAGAATAGTCGATGGGCTAGCCTTCCACCTGAGCTTCTTCGCGATGTTATTAAGAGATTGGAAACAAGTGAGAGTACATGGCCTGGCCGTAAACATGTGGTTGCATGTGCTGCTGTGTGCAAGGCCTGGAGAGAAATGTGCAAAGAGATTGTCAGCAGTCCTGAATTCTGTGGGAAGATTACCTTCCCCATTTCCCTGAAGCAGGTGAGATTTTTTTGGTTCTTTTGCTGCATCGAAACTTTATTTTAATGATTGCTTTGTGTATATAATTTTATTAAGCTTGAAGCATGGCCAAATTTTACATGCTTATGCTTGGTTTTACAGCCTGGGCATAGGGATGGACCCATCCAGTGTTTCATCAAGAGAGACAAATCTAAGCTGACATACCACCTTTTCCTTTGCCTTAGTCCTGGTAAGCTTTCCTCTGTTGATGCCTAATAATAATAAATATCATTTTATCAGATTGTCTTGTTTTTTGCAATTTATTTGATTTCCCGTACCAACCTGAGCAGAGGTCATCTTTCAATGTAGAATTTATTTATGTTTTCTTATTTTTAATTCTGCTAAATTGCTTATGAAGGTCATTTCTTTGGGATTGAAATTTCCTTTTCCAACCGTCCAAATTATTACAGTACAAATTTTGTTTTAAAATTATTATTGCTTTCAAAATTTTTAATGGCTTTGTGTTCATTTCCAAAAAAAGATGGGGAGGATACATTTCCATTTCTTTTAGGCAAACTGAAGAGTTCAATCAATAGTATTCAGGTATGGTTGTTGACTGGTATTGAAATATGTCCATGGCATAAAGAATACAAATCTGCCTAATAAAATGTAAGCTTTGCTACTAGGTCTTACTAAGAGCTTCCATGTGACTGGGAATTGTTTGCCCAAATTAAATTTTCATTAAAACTAAGTTCCTGTAGGTTCTAATTAGATATCTGGTTACTGTCATTTATGATGGTCAAGTTCTATGCTGTGGCCCACTTTTGAGTTTAGAGTTTCTTATGTTAATGTTTTAGCTTCCACTTTTTTCTCCCCTCATTAGCTTAGCTAATGCTTTAGTTGTGTGTAATGTGTGCCTGTGCCTAGGTTAACAATAATTATGAGCAAATAGTACATGCCTCATGGTCTGTCATACTTATTAGTGTATTGGTTCAATTGTTTGCATTGCCGGGTGAGTTGACAATTGCTGTTGCTTTGCGCTGTATAGATATTCATTTAGCAATTTAATGTTCCTGCCTGTCATTGTCTTTGGGACATGTTCTCATATCTGTGTTCCTGCAGCCTTGCTTGTTGAAAATGGAAAGTTTCTTCTCTCTGCAAAACGGACCAGAAGAACAACTTGCACAGAGTATATTATATCAATGGATGCAGATAACATATCAAGATCTAGTAGTACTTACATTGGAAAATTGAGGTAAGACTTATTTTTGGGGCTTTTTTACATTCATTACACTAATAGTCATGGTGTGTGACAACTTTCTGGTTTTGATTGACTTGTATAAGATCCTAGATTATGCATAACTTTTTCCTATCATCCAAGAAATAGTATATTAGAAATAATTGTTTCTGTACTTTCCGTCATATACCTATGCTGTGTTTATTTTCCCTTGTTTCAGGTCAAATTTTCTTGGCACCAAGTTTATAATTTATGATACGCAGCCTCCCTACAATAATGCTCAGCTGTCTCCACCAGGCCGCAGCCGTAGGTTTTCCACAAAGGTTTCACCAAAGGTCCCTAGTGGCAGTTACAATATTGCCCAGGTCACCTACGAGTTGAATGTCCTTGGTACTAGGGGCCCTCGAAGGATGAACTGCACCATGTACTCAATTCCTGCATCATCCCTTGAGCCCGGTGGCACTGTCCCAGGCCAACCAGAGCTCCTTCCCCGTGCCCTTGAGGATTCTTTCCGGAGTATATCCTTCTCAAAATCAATTGACAATTCAACCGAGTTTAGCAGCTCAAGGTTCTCAGACATAATGGGAACTGGCAATGAAGAGGAGGGAAAGGAGAGACCACTGGTTCTTAAGAACAAGTCTCCAAGATGGCATGAACAGCTGCAATGTTGGTGCCTCAACTTCAGAGGAAGGGTGACTGTTGCCTCGGTCAAGAATTTTCAGCTGATTGCTGCAACGCAGCCTGCAGCTGTTGCTCCTGCAGGAACTGGACCTACACCTTCTCAGCCAACAACGCAGTCTGATCACGACAAGATTATTCTTCAATTTGGCAAAGTTGGCAAGGATATGTTTACAATGGACTATCGATACCCCCTCTCTGCATTTCAGGCTTTTGCCATATGCTTGACTAGCTTCGACACAAAACTGGCATGTGAATAGTTACAAGAGATATATGTGGTAAGAAAAATAGAATTTTAATTTCCATTTTAGATATTCATAGGATGTTGCAGCTTCATTAAGTCATTGTTGTCTTCATAGTTAAACTGTAAAGTTCGGAACAATCTGTGTCCAGTGTACCTTTTTCTTTTGAACATGTTCCTTTTTTCTTGCTATTGCCCTTTTCTTTTGAAGTCAAATTTAGTATGCTTTAAAGTTTAAACTATCTTTGTCAAACTTTGTTGATGTAGACTTCCATACTTTGTATGTTAAAAGATGTAATGAGAGTATAGTCGCATTCAGTTTCTGTTTGGTTAATGCTAAGAATCTTGATTTCTTTTTGGAGGACTTTGACGGGTACTAATGCAGCATACCAAAATTCCGGAAATGGCTCTTGTTTTAGTTATGCTATACAATGTACGAGATTTTGCCGTGATTGTTGGATCTTTTCAAATTTAAATTGGTGAACTTATAAACAAAGTGTGATATTAATCACAGTTCTTATAAAAACAAAATGAGTTAGACGTGATTTTGCACAAATTCAGAGCCCACAGATCACTTGGTATTACAAAGTAAATGACTAGTATTTATGAACATTAAAAAAGAAATGTGATTGCAGTGTTATCTGATTTTTGTTATTTCAGGTTTGCTCTTTTTTAAGGGCTAGGTTGTAATTAGAATGATTTAAGCAATGAAAGAACGAGTACTTTGTGTAAATGAGTGAAGAGGTTACTCTGAGGAGATTAACACCAAAATGCAAGGTGCTTTTCAATCGTTCTTTTTCTGATTAAATGGTTATTAACCTACTGGGGAACAATTAGGTCATGGAAAATTGATGTACTTCATGTAAAATAACAAGAGTTATTTTATACAAGAATGATTTCTTTACGTGAATAAATGGGGCAAATCCCTAATATGCTCAATAATTATTATGTTCTATGAAGGATCAAATCCAATCTTTGAGATTGACCTACTTTTACTCAAAATTCACAAACCAAAATGTCTAATTTCACTCAGAATAAAAGAAATCTCAATTTTTTTTAGTTAACCTCATGCTATAAAAATGTTTTAAGATTTATCAAATTATTAGCAAGTACTTGATTTCTGAACTTTAAAAATAATTATATATCTTAAATTCATCATACATCAAATATTTGGATGAAAAATAATAATTCAAAAATGTTAAGAAAAATAAGATTAATGATGGAATCAAAATTAATCAATTGGGTAAAAATAATAATTGACTAAAAATATTTCAAGATAAAAACCACACACAATTTAAATTAAAAAAATAAAAAAATAGTTAACTCAGTGTATTATACGGGTCAATTTTCTTCTAATTAATGGTGTCTTGTATTGACATCAAATTTTAGTTTGGTGATCGATTTATCAAATTTAATGGAAGCAGTTAGCGTTGAGAGCCCACGGCAACGCGCTTGGTAATGGGAATTCCCAATAGAACTCTGTAAACTTGGAAGACGCAACTTCCTCTTCAAACTTTTTGTTTTATTATGGTATTTATGACTTGGGTTTAGGTCATATCGGGTTTAGATGCGTCAGAAATATTTATTAAAAAACTTAAATAATATTTTAGTTTTTAAAAATTTAGAGATAAACTTTTTTAATTTATTTAAAAGAATTTATTATAAAATAGGCTTGTTCAGTTTTTTTTTTTAAATGATTCAGATTAAATAAATATGAGTGTTTAAAATATTATTTCATTTATTAAAATCTAAAAATTCAATAATATGTTGTTTAAAATTACTAGTAAAAGAATCTTAAATTAATCAATAGATTCTTAAAAATGAGAAGAGAGGACAACGTAATTTAAAATTATCTTAGATATATATGTTTTTGTTATCGATAACATTCAGATAATATAAGTTTTTATCAAGTGGACAGTTTAGTTTATTATACATGGTTTAATAGTGATCCTCTTGTCCTATCTGATATACAGATATGGTATATACCTTATTCAATGGAAAGTTGTTGAGCAATAATTTTTGTTCAAATTATTTGATGCCTTGCTGAGTCAAGAATTGGTGCAATATTTGGTAAATAATTAATACTGGTCATGATTACTATGCTGAGTGTATTAATGGCCACGCCCCTGTCATATCAAGTTGTCGAGATTTTGCCAACAAAGAAATACCCAGAGGTCTTCCAAGCATTTAGTCACAGAAAAAAGACAATATTAGAATCTCTTATACATCTCAGATACAAGCTTCCGATTAGTTCATTTTTATTTTGATAAAAAAAAAATAAAAAACCCTGTATTGTGTCTACCATTTTATAATAATATATACCAACAAACCTCAGTCCTCAATCATTAAAAGTCTTATTTTAAGTTCAAAAGATTTTTAAAAATGTATTTTATTCACCTATTACATCAACCGCATGTGCATTTGAATGCTAATTACACCGCAGAATTTTATGTTGTGCTGATCGTCAAATAAAAGTAATTTAGAAAGGATCATGCTTGTAATTAATTAAAGAAAACGCTTCATAAACATCTCCCTTGAGTGTATATATTAGAAAAACACAACATAATGTGTTAAATAAGTGATTACAGAAGTGTGGTGTTCATAAATTAGAATTGATTAGTTGAAGAGACAAGATCATACGAAAACTGTTGAAGCATAGACATCCATGGATAATATATACCCTGATTTAATAACATACTATTGTTATAAGAAGACAAATAATAAAAGCAATTTGATAATTACAATCTGATGAATTTACAATATGCTATTATTGGAAGAGAGATCAACGTAGGTTGATCCACGGGATTGAACCCCCTGACAGACTTACGAGAAGTGAGCACGGCTTGCATATCATCCCTAGCTATTGTAGTAGTAGTACATGATATACGACATGTGTGCTTCATCTGAATGCAAAAGATCATCGTGAAGGTTGATGTGCATCCCTTGTAGCAGCTTCTGGAATGTCCTCTTCAAACCATTAGAAATGAAAAACGAAAGAGGTTTTAGAACTCTATACATGATGATTCACACTAGCTTGGAGTGAGGGAAAGCATGAGCATCAATGTCTCTCCCATCTCCATTTCTCTCTCCACCCTCTCCTTCTTTGCCTCTACTTCTGAGTGGATTGGTATATATTACCACACATAAATGTATAGTGCAAGGCAACGTGGTTTGATGGGGTTCAAGGCAGAAACTAGAATATGGGTCTTAATATTAATCAATTATTATATGAAAATTTAAAAATAAAATAAGTCAAAGTTATAGGTTAGGTTAATATATACAAGGATTCAAGGAATCTCTTCCAATTATGATTTGTGTATAGAAAAATTTTCACATTTTAAAATCATTTCTAAGCTAATTACTAAATTCCATGAATATTGATTTTAAATAATTTTCAATTTAAAATAAATTAATATGAACTTATGTTTAGAGTTTGTGCTTTCTTTTTTAGGTGCTTTTTTAACTGAAAATATGTTTGAAAAAATTTGTAATAGTGAATTTTTAAAAGATAAAAATCTAATGAACATTTTTTACTACTTTTCACATGAATTTAAAATAATAGCTTCTTTAAGAATCTAAAAGAAATTTATATTGCAAAATTGTGTTTTAAAACTTACACTAAAGGATTCTTAATTGACTTGGTCATGATTGTAAGTGGGTCAGTTTATCAAATCACCACTCAATTTGACGAATCAGCAGACATATATAGTATAAAAAAGTTCCAACAAATTTGTATAATTCAATGGACATATTGTTTTAAGCTTTAAAATTTAGGTACATCGTTGTTGTTGGGTAGTCTGTCTTTTCTTCAAATCACCTTTCTTCTTTTTTACTCCTGTATCTAGATACCTGGTTTATACAGATTTTAAAAAGAAAAAGAAAAAGAGTTATAAAATTAAAAGAATGCACTTTTGTTTATAGAAATGCAAATAATTTGGTCAACCAAACTGAATCATATTTTTTCCTGTTACAGAAACTTTTATTACATTTCTCTGCATTTGCAATCAGGATATTTACACAATGCAACGCGAAACTAAAACGATGGTATGTGCTCCCATCATATACTGTACTGGAAAAATTGTAAGATAATATATGTTAAGAAAATCTCGTCCTCCCTGAATAATTTGGCCCAACAAATTTTCAACGATTGAATATATAATTGATAATGAAAATGGTTTCAATATAGAAATTTGATGGGTTTTAGATATGTTTTGTTAGATAATATGTTGGATTGGATAGATCAAACATCTTTGTCTCATTTACAAGATTCCGTCGAAGTGGGGATATAATTTCTGTAATTAGTTTATATTTTAGGAATGTCAGTATTATATATATCTTAACTATTCAGATATATTTAATAACATAAATTTATTGTTTTTATTCTTAAAAATAATTAAGTATTTTTAAATGAAATTTCAACATACTTTCTTACATTTAAGATTAAACATATGAAAAGTAAAAAAATCTGTGAAGTTAGTTTTCTCTTTTTTAGAAGTTAAAGATGATCTAATATCAAATTTATGATAAGCTTTGATATTTTTTAAATTTGAACTTTAATCTAATTCCATTTCAAAATTTAACTTAAGAATTATATTAACCTTCATAACTTTTTATTACATATACAAGTTCTTAAGACTAATATGTTGTGAAAGTTTAATCATTAACTTGGCCACTCCCCTAGCCGTCTTCTTTAGGGAACTATTTATTCAATAAAATTGGACAAACATACGTGTGTCTGTGTGTTAAGAAGATATATTTCATATTTATAGTACATATACAAAAACATAACCTACATCCATGAAATCATAAACATATCATGAATCGAAACTTGTTGCAAAGGTCAAGATTCTCATTCAACTATAACGCAAAAAGGTGAATCTTGTAGACCATATTTTGGTGGGTTGTCAAATAATTAGTGGTCCCAAATGAATGTCATGCGCACACTGATGCATACATATATGAAGGAAGAAAGAAACTTTTTATGTTATGGTCTTGGTTGGTGCTTGGTGGAGCACTAGTCTGTGAGCTAGATTTTATATCCTAAAAGAAATAATATGCTACCCCACACACAAACATTCTGAATTGCATTGGATTTGGGCTCAGACAGTGGTCGGGTTGGTCTTCTTTGGTAGTGCTGCGCAAACGTTTTGGAAGATAATGCTATCACTTAGTTGACACT